TGAGGGGGATATGTTACCTCAACAGGTCTCCAAAGATAGCGAAGTTCTTCTAAATTCTACTAGTGAAAAACAAACTCAAAATGAGGATGAGCCTCATAGAGAAGAGCACGAGATAAGTCATCGAGCTCATAGTCCCATGCCTTTCGAGGACAGTGGGAGAAATTTTTCTACTAGTTTGGAAAATAATGAAGGTCCTACTTTGAGAAGGAGTGATCGTGGAAGAATTCCTCGTCGATTTTTTCAAATTGATGAGGATGTATTTCTTTGTACTCCTTTAGAAGTAGATGAGCCGAACTCTTATAAAGAGGCAATGAATTCACCATATAATTCAGAATGGAAAGATGCAATGAATGATGAGATGGACTCAATGATTAAAAATAATGTTTGGGAACTTGTTGACCTTCCACCTCATCGTCGATCAATTGGATGAATTGGATATTCAAAATCAAGCTTGGGGTGGATGGATCAATAGAAAAGTTCAAAGCTCGTTTAATAGCGAAAGGTTTTACCCAAATTGAAGGTATAGATTACGATGAGACATTTTCTCCTGTGGTGAGATTTGCCTCCATTCGTCTTCTTTTGGCCCTGGTTGCCCATTTGGATTTAGAATTATTTCAATTGGACGTAAAAACAGCTTTCCTCAATGGTTCTCTTGAGGAAGAGATATATATGGATCAACCTATTGGGTTTGTCCCAAAAGGGCAAGACAATAAAGTTTGTCGCCTCAAAAGATCCATATATGGTCTCGAGCAGTCTTCCAGACGATGGTATCTCAAATTCCATGAAGCCATTTGTGCATTTGGTTTGACAATGGTTGATGAGGATCATTGTGTGTATGTCAAGAAAAGTGAAGAAGGAATTTTGTTTCTTTCTTTATACGTTGATGACATATTGTTGGCTGGAAACGACATGGGCATGATCAACGACACTAAGCAGTGGTTGTCCTCTAACTTTGAAATGAAGGACATGGGTGAAGCTAGGTATGTCCTAGGAGTGGAAATAATGTGAAATCGTCCTAAGAAACTTCTTGGTTTGTCTCAAGAAACATATATTAAAAGAATCTTAGAACGTTTTTGTTGTAAGTATTTTTAACCGGAGTAGAATCCAAAGATTCGACACCGGGTCGTA